ACTGTCTTCATAACCCTTTCACTGTGCTTTCTGAATTCTTCTACTGTAAACAAACTCCCCTAACCCTTAAACCCTTCCAAGGAGTTCCCTCCACTTATTTTGTGGTTGCTATAACAAACCTGGCTCTATGCTGGGCAAATGGCTTCAGTTGTATCTATTTGGTGAGAAGCTATATGAGCCTTCTCATGCTTCTGATATCACAGGGACCAGATGGACACTGTCCTAACTTCCCATGACCACTCTAGGCCATTTTGATTCTAGTGTTAGCAGACACTTACTGCCCTTCCTTCATGTTTGCTTTGGGTCCACGTCGGCATCATGCTATATCTCCCTTACCCTGTCCACCATTCAGACGTCCCGCTCACTCACAGAACCAGAGACAGCAATCATAGTACTTGCTGCCCTCATTCCCTTCTAAGGAAGCTTCTTGAAACCATAGCCCCTGTTGTCTACAGCAGCCACATTTCATGCCCTAGTCCCACTGCCACCACCACAGCTGTAGGGGGTCAGCAAACTGCCTCAACGTTTGACCACAGTTTGAAAAGACAAGGTGGTATGATCAGATTCCCTCCCCTGGAAATCTGAACTAGGAGACACTAAGAGAAAGACTTCACCTATGGGGACTGAAGTGAAAAGGATGCACAAGGTGGAGGAAGGTTGTGTGTGATATTTCTAAGTTGCAAGGCAGAAAGCATAAGAAAAATAATGACAATTTAGCAGAAGTTATAAGGAAGAAAGGAGGCAGAACAAAGCTAGTACTGAAAAGAGAAAAGCAGACTTACAGAGAAAAGCAGAAAACCAAAAAAGAATACTAAGAATTGCTAAGTTGGTTGCTAACTCCTTTCTAATCTCAGTCCTCAGGAGTATGAAAGTTCTTCAAAAAGTTTGTGGAAAAATACAATGAAAAGATAATACTAATCTTTCTCCTTGAACTTAATAAGGACCCCTTAGTATGTGAACAACCAGTTCCTCTCAGGGTTACCCTAGGCAAAGCTGTTCATTGCAATCAAAAGAACTCTCAGCAGAGCATGACTCCTCACCCTTTGAAGACTGCGACTTGGCTCACAGTCCTGTCTGTCCTGCTACCGCCATCACCACAGTAACCTGAACGTCTAAGTACATGAGCACTGATTCCTGCCCGATCCCTACTTTAGAATCCTGCCCCCCAAACCACAAGCCCTGCTAGAACAAAGCCACAATGGCTGCACTAATGACGCCACTCCTGGTGCATGGCCCCACGCTCCAGCCCACCCATTCTGCCACTCCCTGAAGTGGCTGTCTCAGACGTTCCCATTCTCCTCAGAGCTCATCCAGTGCCCATTTCTCAATAGACTGCCTTGAGAAACTGAGACTATTAGGAGCCTTCAACATCCTGCCGCATTATCAAAGGCTGTAACATATTCTAGAATTAAAGGCAGCTTCACAGATACTTCAACCTTCCTTCCTTTCTTCCATTCCCCAGGCCTCATTTTCACTAGTTGTTGACATAGGTAGCTTATAGGTGATCTCCCTCCTATGCGACAAACTGCTTAGTATCAACACACTATTGTTGCTTGAATTAACTTGCA